AACACGCATTTTTTTCCTAACCAAATGTGATTTACGCTATAAGCAGAAAAATGTATATTTTTTACTCATTCCATTTAATGTAACTATGCAGAATCATTTCTATTTACAATATTTATTTTTTTTTTTTTTTTCAATCATGAGAATTGAATAAAAACAGCCAGTCTTTGGCGGTGTATTATTATATTATTATATTATTATATTTATAGTGATTTGACACTTTTGACTCTTTTCCGATTTTCTCGACAAATACGCAATTTTTCAAAAATCTAAGTATGAGGTCTTTCTCAATTTATCGTGGCACAAAACATATATCAAAATGATTCAAAAACAAAAAATTGTGCATCAAAGGGTTAAGCTAAAATTCTGATTAACAGCGTATCATATTAATGTTTATAAGGTAAATAACTACAACAGTAAGCTGTCTTTAACATATGTGCGGATACTAGAAACCGGATGCTGAAATGCTTTCAATTTCATTTTGAAGCACACCATTTTCGTCAGATTGAATTCGTGTGTTTACCTTCCAATTCAATCAATCAAATATTTATTGTTTGATTTCCTACGTTTGCATTACATTCGTTGGTGTATGACTTTTTTGGTCGATGTTAAGAAAGACGGATATGTGCACCGAATTTGAGCTATGCAGACAGGAAATTGTTCCTATTTTTCAACTTAACAATCTTCGTTGCACATTGAAAGTCATGCATTTTTTCAATATGTCGTTACACAACAGAGACTAAATTCAAATTGATATGATGATTTCTACCATTATCATAATAACAACATTATGCCAGCTGTGGATGTATAAAATACGCGCAAATAAAAATGGATGAAATTTTTGTTTTTTTTTTTTCAACGAACAATTTTAACATGCATCAGTGGAAGGAAATGAATTTGAATTATTAAACAGATTGTTGATTCGTTTGAACATTGTATTAACGAAAATTCGCTTGAAGCTTTTGAATGTCTTTCTTTGCTTCATTTTCCCACACATAAGTGCAGATGAGAAAAGACGAACAAAAAAAAAATTTGATTGCTCATGAATAGTTGCTGAAATACAATTTGTTTGGCAAATACTATAAATAGTATATGGAGAGTGAGAGAGACAGAGAAAATTAGAGAGACTGTGAATGCGAATGTCGCTGACACAATTCAGGGCAATTGCAATTCATCGTATAATTCCACTTACGGATGTTACCATCAAATACAATCACATGGCCAAATATTGAAGAAAAATGTGAATGAAATAGACTTTCAACCAGAGCATGGCTACGACAACACAACTACTGGCCCATGGGCTTGCAAGCATAATAAACAGAAACAAAACGAAATGAAACTTAAAATGAAGAAAACATGAAATTCCAAATGTGCTGTAATAAAAGTATACGGCAAGAAAACGGAAATGGCCGTGCATATAAAGTTTTGCCAAAGTGTAATAAACAAATCGTATAGATATGCATATTCGATTTGTTTAAGCATCGAATTTTGATTTGGTCTCTTGGTACTTTCGGCAAATTTTATGAAGGCATCGAGTAAGCAAGCGAACCGACTGTAAAAGTCATATAGTCATAGCATATGTGCGAGCGAAGTGTATTATTAATACATGATATTTTGGCAATGGAACGAATCGCTTATTTCATGTTCAAAATACGAAAGTACGATTGTCGAACGGGAGGCATACAGGTAACGAGGCCTAGGGGCGCTTGAAGACGAAAACGAAAAAAATATATAACCAAAATTTCTTTAAAGCCACCGATGTACTGGTGTTGAATAGCAAATTCACGTGTCTCGCTAAATTCGTGATTTTTCGATGTACACACACGAACGCCAGCAAAACGGTCGGATCCAAGAACAAAACATGGTTTGACACAACAACAAAAAAACAACAAGAGACGGAAAAAAACTTCGTTTGCAAAGCCCGATTTACGATTAAAGCGATCCACGTACACGAATTTGTTGTCGTCGACATTGATTCAGCAATCATTGATGTCATTTTATATGAAACTGTTACTAACGTGTATCGATGAATTGGTGATCCATTTAAAGATAAGCTACTCGAGACCCATTGCTGTTGTTGTTATTTTTTGTTTCGCATGGAAAAAGCAAAGAGACCCATACACACACACACACACACACATAAGAATGGAAAATCTCATGAAAGCAAAATTTCCATTTGGCTTAAATAACGATGGGAATATAGTTTGAACACTGTGAACGCGCTTATCTCTATCGTTCTCTAATAAAGGTAAAATAAATGTTTAATAGCACAAGGACAATTTCAAAATTGTACAGCATTCAACCCGTTGATTGCATAAAACTTAATTTTACTTATCAGTTACGTACGATGGTGTGTGTGTGTGTGTGTGTGTGTGTGTGTGTGTGTGTGTGGCAGAATGCGCAACGATTTTCAGGCAAACGAAACCATGACAGCACACCGCTCAGCTTAGTGTCGAAATGCTACTTTAGAGCAAAAACGGTTGGCCCCTTCAAGTCTTGCATCTTTCCATTTACATTGTGATGGGCAACAATTTGCATGAAATACACAAACAAAATGGTTTGTATCGTTGTATTCCATTTTGCAACGCTTCAAATTCGATTATTCGATTGATGTAACACAAATTGCCATTCGTGCGCATATACCAACAACAATAGTGGAAAGAAAAAAACGGGAGTCGAATGTAATAAAAAGAGTAACATTCTGTTTGAGTTGCAGCACAAATCTGATCGAACAATATTTGTCTTTGCCATTCAATTTTAATGGCAGCATCGTGTTCGATTATAGTAATTGGACTAGTTGAACATCACAATAGTTGGTAAAACTACTGTAAGAGAAAGCAAAAAATGCAAATGAACGACAAAAAGCGATGTAGTGAATGTCGAAACGGTCAAAGTGATATGCAAGTAACTGGCAATTTCTCTCATGTGCACACGAAAAATTTCACGGTGTGCCATATTGTATAACAGTCTGTTGCTTCGGGTGAAAAATGTTAATCATTGACAATGGCAATACTGTGCCCGTGTCAAAAGCGAAACGATGATCTATCATGCTCTCAATGCATATTATATCATCGAAATTCATTTTAATAGAACCAATTTTTTAGCCAGTGGCACTCAACCAAAATGAAATACCCTTGTGAATATTACAATGAAGATGGCATTAAATTTGAATGGATTCGCGTCTCTGTGTCGCTTTTCCTCTCTCTTGCTAAACCTTGTTGCAACGACAGTCGACGTTATTCATTCCATTTTGTTCGTTACTTTTGTTGCATTGTCTGTCTATTTATTTACAAATGTTTTAAGTAAAATACTTTGCTATTTGCTCATATTAACGTGGCGCCGTACAGGAATAAGACAGAGATAAAGCGAACTTAAACTGAAGCAAAAGTGAATTTCACGTAAATGATGAATCGAATGTTAGCCAGACAAATAAAATAGAAAAAAAAAATAAAAATAAAGAAAGCCCGTCGAAATAAAACATATTATTTCATCTCCGCTTTGTCTTGACAAATCAACAATATGAACGCTACTCACTTAAACAATTCACGCACGCTTTTCCATTACAATGGGACTGTAATGCCTCATTTCAAACGAATTCTTGCTCATGAAATATATAAATAAATGTCGAATAATGTACTTCGGCCGACGCTTTTCTTTTTTCCTTCTCTTTCATTTTAGTCATTGCGATCAATTTAATAAAAAGCAAAATAGAAAACTTACTCGCTAAGCACTGTACGAATATTTTCATTTAATTATGACCACATTTAAGTGCAACGCACAAAACTTCTGATGACTGGGTGCTTTTTAATTGAATGATGACTCGTCGAGTCAAATGCTTGTATCGCGGAAAATCATTCCGCCAAACTGAGTGAAATGTGCGGCGCTCAATGTGCAGGCATTATTTTGATCATGAGACGGAGATAAAATCATACACCCTACAAACAGTATATAAAGAAACGAAATAAATTTTAATATTCCACATTGAAATGCAATTGCAATCGAAAGTTTTCGGTTGGATGTTATTATTACTTTGTTTTCGTCTCGTGTCTTCTGTTGCTGTTGTCTGCTTTATCTGTCGTCGTCGTAGGAATCATTTACAGACAATTTGTGTGCCGACAAGTTGTTTGACATGAATGCTTTCGAATCGTAACTTTGGAATAATTACGAACAATTCGATTAAAATGTGAGGCCTTTTCAAACGGAAAACATTGTCTTTTTTTTCAGAACTTTCGGGTGACTGTCATTGAGCTAGACGCGTGTTTCGGACAAACTGTGGATATTCAACGAATGACCTTTGGGCTGATCATTTATAGTGAGTATGAGGCACATTTTTTCATTTTCCTTGAGTCGATACGTAGTTTTTACCTTGAGTTTTGAATTCGATTCACATTTATTTCGACTCCAGCAATTGACCTGCTAGGACAAGAAAAAACTTGAACAAGAACATTGAACCTGAAGTGTTTGATGCCAAGTAGAACGAAACGAAAACAATTAACAATTACAAATAAAGAAATCAAAATTGATTTCACAAGGGTCTCCTTGGCATTCGTAGATTAGAGCTTTTTTTTTCGAGAAGGGACAAAATATCCAAGTTTTTAAGCATGACCTTTCTCAAAGCGAAGAGAACTTGACGCCTATCTTTTTGCCCGTGTTTAAAAGATAAATATTTACAAACGCCGAGAGTTTTTCACCGGTTTTTGTGTGTTGGGAGTGTGATTATTTATTGGAAGTAATTGATATGAATTTGGTGAAATTCCTTTTGAAATCCGATATGCAAAACAGTTGGGCGAGCCGAAGTTGAAACATTGACGAAATTGATCGTTGCATTCAAAATCAAACACATTCCAATGAAGCGGAAAAATAAAGTATCCTTCAGATCCACATGAAAATTCCAAAAACTCAAATTTCGATTGGAATTATGATTTTTATCGAGAAAAAAAAATCGTTTATCCGTCTTCTTATTCGCCTGCTTCTGAAATCTTGCGTATGCATTTGAGTGCCTTTGAGCATAAAAGAAAGCGAAGAATAAAAAAATTTAAGCCAACGTTTTCATTGATCGAGTCGAATATTACGGATTAGGTCCGGTATAATTTTTTTATTCACCGCTAGCATAAGGGCAAAATGGAAATATGCAAGCATGGATGTGGAGAGAATGAGATATCCAAGCATGGAGTGAGAGAGAGAGAGAGAGAGAGAAAGAAAACGAAAAGGAGAAAAAAAAGAAAACAAAGCGGCATTCAAAAGATAACGACCAATGAAAATACCGACCGGTGAGTTTGGAACAAACGAATCTGTTGAAAAACAGCCAAACGCATTCATTTCTCGTAAATTATCCAACATCTTTATTACATGTAATCGAAACAATACGTTACACAGTCGAAATAAATAACAATCTGTAAGGAAAGAACGGACACGCGTTTAGAACGCCAAAAGGGCTCATGTACGGTGCTTTCAAAATGTTGTTTGGTATTCTCAGCTTGAATTCTTTTTTTTTCTCTCTCTCTTTCTCTCTTTGCTTGTTTACTCGAATGGAAGGGGTTTATGCACCAGTATTCCATTCATTCTTTGATATTCTATCCGAAATATTCCATTTCACCGTTTACTGTTGTTGTTCCGCTGGTTTTTCTTTTTTTTGCTCATTCATCCCATTGTATATAAATTCGCGTTACCATTTTCGTTTCATCGCTTTTTGTTCGTTTTCCGACATTCGATTAATTTCGGCAACAACTTAAAACATCAACTGCAGAAGTCGATTCACTTGGCTGTTGCCGTCGTCACCGTCACTATTGTTCCGTTGTTCACGTTTATTGCATATATCTCGTTGTAGCGACAGCAATAGTGGCAAGGATATTTAATTTATTGCGTAAAAGTTCAGCTGAATAAATTAAATAGTTCAATTTAAATCTAAGCTCGTTTCGTCCTCTTCATCTCTCTCACCCGAACATCCCTTACTCCCATTCGCTCACTCTTTCGTCAAGCAGCGCGAGTGTTTGTATGCTCATGTTTCGCTTTAATCTCATTTTATGTTAAAGGACAAAGCCATAAAGGAAGCCGTTTAACTTGATCGCAATTATGTGCCACCGCAAATTCAATAAATAAAAAAAAGGCATTGGAATAACTAACGGAAATAGCAAACTTTGTTGCTGGTGCTTTTTACTCTATCCGCTTTTTTCTCCAATTGAATGTTCCAGACGAAAAAATGTTGGACGAAAAAAAATTACACCGTTTTTGGCCATTTGCAATAAAAATAAAAATGTATCACTTTCGCATTGATTGCGATGGCTTTTTTTTCGCCTTTGCTAGCCTTGCAAATCCCATGCAAAATGTCATGGATTATTTCACAAATGCTTAAACGCATCGCGTGTTCTTTCTCATTCGCTGGGTTTTCCTTGGTCTGTTTTTGTGGTGGCAAAACGAGCATTTTGAATAATTCAAAGTGCATCAGTTTTAGCCATCAAATGATGGCTCGTTGTAACCAAGCGAACGCGAGCGAGCAATCACTGTAAAATTCGATTGATACATATTGTTAATGCCTCCTCCTAAGTATTGCCACTTCTCGGTTGTGGAGTTTTCATCTAAATTCCAAATAAATAACCAATTACTTTTACGAGCAGTAATTATGTAACGAATCAATAAACGCCAACACTAAAAACCCGAAATAGGTAAATGGTGCACCATTTTTCGTTAAGCTTTACATAACTCTTATTGTCGGTAAATGTGACATTTCCACTCATTGCCATAGATTTATACAGTCTTTTTTTAGTATCGTTTTTTCCCTAAATACCGCGAAAATGTCTCACATTTGAGTTGAATACACCAATTCGCTTAATTGAACCATTTAGGACGAAAAAAACTAGTCAAATAAGTTGATTTCAATTTCCAAAGATTAACTTAATTTAATTCGAAAGCAATACAAATTACAATACAATTCCATTTTCTGCGAAGATCTGATATTTGGAAAAAATCTAAAGAAATTGGCGGAATCTCAGTCGAACTCGAAAACGTGCACATCACTTGAGAATCATCGGATTTGTTGGTGCGTCGGTCGGTTGCTATCCCCATTTCATAATATTATTTGGAAGAGAAAATGAACGAGACTGGGAACGAAAATGAGAAAGAGCGAGAGTGAGAGTGAGAGAGAGCAAGACGGAGGATCGAAAGAGAAAAAAACATACACAACAAGGTTCCAAACAACATCAAACACAAGTGGCGTGCTATTCAAATACAAAGCAAAAAATGAGTTGGCAGCAAAACGAATAAGAAGAAGAAGAACAGATGGACACTAAACAGACCAATCGTATAATTTCAGTTCATAAAATTAACGGCAGAGAATTGATGGTGTTGTTTTCATTGTTTTAAAATGGTTGTGTTTACTGCCATTCTGTTTGCTACCGAGAGTTGCAGCCGTAAATTAAGCGACTAAAAGGATGGAATTACTTGAGACAGCATGGATACTCTGGCTTACGCTCCCTCTCTCTTTCTCCCAAATAAAAAAGTCCACATGATGTCGCGAACATTACACACCAAATCAAAAAATATTCCAAAACTCTGATTCTGTATACCGTTCGTTTCTTCATCCTTCGGCAAAAGAGTTTCATCCTTCGGCAAACTTTTTGGCACGAGCCAAGCACGATGAGAAATGGCCGACAACAACGCAATAGAAAATACTAAGAAAGCATGAGATCGAAAAAAAACCTACGCAAACCGAATAACGGGGATAAAGCAGGAGCTCTGTAAAATAAAATGCAATTTGATTTGAAATGCGAGTTTTGGCGCCGTGGTCTATCGACTTTGATGAGGCATTTACGAGCAGTTAGAAGTCATTAAATAAACGCGTGAAATGGCAACACGCGCGCCCAATGGCCGTCGAAAATAAACAAAAAGTGAACCTGTCGTAGAAAAAGGAAACACCATGAATAATTGTATATAATTGAATTTGATGAAAAGACAAGAAAAGAATTACGTTCAATCCAAAAGCATCGTCCGATGGTTCTTAACGCTTGAGATTTTCTACTTGAGACGTAGTCTGTGTGGATTTGTTGATGGTTTTATTAACAGAAGGGCTTTTATGAGTTAGTCTCAATCAATAAAAATGTCAATGGATTTTTAAGTAAATTCGGCGACGAGATCAATTGGATCGATACGAGCGAGACAGAGAAACCAAATGTTTAATGCGATTAATCGAATAATATTGAAATGATTCTTCACCGATTTGTTAATCACACAAAGGAATCTAAATATATATTGCACACACACTTCAGTGTACCAAGCTAGGGGCTAACCACGGTTTTGAAAATAACCAATAATGATCGACTTTAACATTTTTTATCATTTAAAGAAATAAATTCCGATATGATCACATTTTGGTCGATTTTGCCCGATTTTTGCAGTAATTTTTTCGCTTTAACGAATGCATACTGTTCTAGAAGCGGGTTTGGTGCATCGTTCGTTTTGGTGCAACCTCAGGATCGTTCAGAACTGCTCCCGATTCTGGAAGTGGGTTTCGGTGGATCTTCAGGATGGACCAGACTGGATTTGACAATGCCCTGGCCCATCCTGAGGATCCACTTCCAGAACCGGGAGCAGTACTACACCAAAACCCACTTCCAGCATTTTTGAATCGGTAATGACGTCAGCACATTAAACGTTTATAGTCGATATTAAACGATAAAATTCAATATATACAGATTTTTTAAATTTTTTTACGGATGTCATTAAAATTGGGCGATAAAAACAGATTTTTTCAATAAAAAATCCGTGGTTAGCCCCTAGGTACCACGTGTGTTGTGCGATTGATGGATATTAACTACCACTCGTCCAAGTTTGTTTTTCGAAGAAATTAAAAGGAGCAGCAATATTTCATAACGAAGCCGATAAATTTTCGGTTTATCTACGCCTTTTGAGTGAAAATAAATTCACTTTTGAAATGAAAAATCGGAAAATTGTCCTTCCGTAAATGTATGTTCAAAAGCAATCAGGAAATGCGGGGGTCATGCATTCGCGCAAGGAAAATTGGAATTTTCATGCATCATCAACACCAAAGATCAGCTTTCCACCAAAAAAACACACGAGAAACCCTTCTATTTAGCAATCAACGAAAAACACCCGAAGCTTTTCAAGCGAAACAGTTAACATTTGGGGATTTGGTTACATATCAACATTTACCTGGAAACAATCATAAATGCAAAAAAAAATGCTTTTATTTAATAAATTGATCTGGTGGCTTTCCTTCGAAATTCATCATTATTACCATACAATGAGCTTTCATGAAAATAAACCAAATTTATAATCCTTGAGGATTTCGTTAAATGG